CCTGGGGGATGATTTCTCGCTTTCTGTGTCTCTGTTTCTCTCGATCTCTTGGGCGAGTGCACATGACCTATAGCAAAAAATCTCTCTCTAATGAAAAAAGGTGTTGTAATTTCTTTATTTCTTCCTCCTTTCCTTCCTTCCCTTCTTTTTTTAACAAAAGAGAGCATGAGTGGGAGGAAGATAATTTTGACAGGGTCTCACCATGTTTCAATGCTTTTGTCCCAGTTTCCCAGTTATGTTGGACCACCCTGTCCAATCTGAGCTTCCCATGTTGCCTCAACCACCACATAGCAGTGTCCTCCCACTTATGCCACTGCTGCTGTATTCCTTTTCTTATTTTAAATATATATTCACTGTCGTGCCTAAAGTAAAATAAGAATATGTAACCAGGTATTTATAAAACCTTACATCAAACATTCCATTTAAGAATTAAATGGGGTAGGCACCAGCAGATGGTACAGTTGTCAAGGTGCTGGATTCCCATGTAGCTGACAACGGTTTGAGTCCTGGACCCAACAGCTTGAAACTCATGCTGGGCACATGTGCGTGCGTACCCAAAATCCCAAGAAGAGAATGGAGGAGGAGGGATTGTGCTGTTGTGGTGTGACTATCTCCCTGGGGGTGATTTCTCACTTTCTGTCTCTAAGGAGAGCACAAGAACACTAGTAGCAAGAATCTCTCTCTCTCTCTCTCAAAAAAAAAAAATGAAATTGGAGCCAGTAGGTGGTGTGGTGGTTAAAGTGCTAGATTCCCACCCGAATAACTGCAGTTTGAGTCCTGGACCTGGTGGCTTGAAAATCATGCTGGGCATATGGGCATGTGTGCTCCAAATCCCAAGAGGAAAATGGAGAAGACAGAACTGTGGTGTGGCCATCCTCTCTAGGGGTAGATTTCTCACTTCCTCTCTCTGTCTCTTTCTGTCTCTCTTCATTGAGCGCACAAACACAATGGCAAAAACCTAAAAAAAAGAATGAAATGAATCTCCTTTAAGACTGGGAATTAGATAAGGGATTCACTATTACTACCTTTGTTCAACATTTTACCAGAATTTCTTGTGAGTGAAGTATAACAAGAAAAGAAACAAAAATTATGAGAATAAATAAGGAAGAAACAAAACTGTGATTTGAGCAAAAATATGACTGTGTCTGTAAAAAATATAAATACGGAAATATTAGAATTAGCCAGTGAGTTTAGGAATTTTTTAAAAGAATTATTTTATTTAACTTTATTTATTTATCTATTTTAATTTTACCAGTGAGGGACAGAGTGAGAGAGAAAGAGGGAAAGTGAGAAAGCAAGCCACCAGGTCTGGGACTCAAACTGAGGTCGGCCATGTGGGAGTCCAATGCCTATGACCACCACACCATTTGGAGGCCTTAAGTTTAGGAAGTTTGATGGATACAGAAGTCAATTAATAAAAAACAGTTCTATCTTTATATAACAGCCATATTTAAAAATTAAAATTAAAATATTAATTATAATCCCATGAAAATATATAAGGTACTTAGCAATAAATGTAACAAAGGAGATCAAAGAAGTGGATTATAAAACATACACAAAAGTGAAAAAGACTGAGAATAGCCAAAGAACTCTTAAAAAGAACAAGGTGGGAAAAATTGTCCTATCAGAATCAAGATTTATTATAAGACCATGGTGGTTAAGGCAGTGGCATGGGGAAAGTGAATAGAGGGCTCGAGAACAAATTTAAATGCATGCAGACACACATTATATATGATCAAACTGACATTTTAAATCAATAAAAAGTATACTTCTCAAAAATAATTACAAAACAATTAGGTTTCCATATGGTAAAGTAGTAAATTGAACCTCTACCAGATGAATTAAAAGCATAAATCAGCTCTGGTTGGATTAAAAACATAAATATTGGCCCAGCCTCTGTGGTGCAAGTGCCTTGCAAGGCTGGAAGCCATATGGCCAACTGCAGGTATGGATTCCCGGCTCAGTCTGATAACATGCCAGATACATGCATGGCTGCCCAGGGTCCTGAGGTGTTGGAGGATTGAGGAAATGAGATCGTAGTGTGACCCTGTCAGGGATGCTTCTCGCTCTTTTTTCCTCTCTCATGTCCATGTGCATGCACTCCCTATCGTTAAAAATAAAACATAAATGTGAAGGGTAAAAATATGAAATTTTAAATAAAATATAAAAGAATATCTTACTTTTTGAATAGTGATATATTTCTAAAACAAGACATAAAATGTGTAAATCATAAAGAAAAAATTAAAATTAAAATTAAGAATTTCTGTTTATCAGAAATTTCTGGTAAGTGAAAAGACAACCCATAAACAAAACCAGTAAAGAATCAATATCAGATTAAAAATAAAACTCTGAGAATTGAAAAACAAAAGAAAAAACAAACCTATATAGAAAGGCTAAAAACTAGAATAGGCACTTCTCAAAAGAAAAAATTCAAATGGTTAATAATTGAATTAAAAGATGCCCAATCTCATTAGTAATCAGGAAAATTCAATTTAAAATCATAAAAAAGAAATATTTTGCCCCCTCTAGAATCATAAAAATAAAAAGTCTGTAAAAATGTGAAGTGTTGATAAACATGAGAAAGAAGTAGAACTCACATCCACAGCTCACTAGATTATACAGCTCACTAGATTATAGTTTATGTGTGAATAGCGTCTGACATTTCATAGTAAAGTTGAACATGTACAAATCTTGGGACCCAGAAATTCCTCTCTTGGCTATATATCTTAGAGAAACTAGCATATGTATGTCATTTCATGTACATGGTTCTATCATCATAGCCATCAACACTTAAATGAATAAATATACTTAGGTATATTAATGCAATGTCATATTATATAGCAGTGTAAATGAAGTGAAACTACCAGAACCAATGTTTATGAATTTCAAAAACCTGATCATGGGGTGAACTCCAGGACACAGAGATAATGTGCTGGGTCAGGGATTCACACACACACACACACACACCTTTTCTCCCTATCATTATTCCATTTCAATCTCTCTTTTTTAATGAGGCAGTTCTTTTTTTTTTTCTTTTGAGGTGATGGATATGCTAATTACTCTGATATTTGTTCACAGATTTTTTTTTTTTTTACTTTTTAGAGAAAGATTTTTATAGGGTATGTGTGCTCATTGGAGAGACAGAGAGACAGAAAGTGAGAAATCACCCCCAAGAAAGGATGGTCACACCACAATCCCTTCTCCTCTTGAGATCTTGGGCACAAATACACATGTGCCCAGTGTGAGTTTTAAGCCACCAGGTCTGGAACTCGACCATGGTCAACTCTGTGGGGGTCCAGCAATGTAACCATTATGCCATTTGTTGGTTCCTAATTACTCTGAATTTATCATTAGTCTTCCATTTCTGAGCCACAACTGAGCCTAGGGCTCCCTAAGTCCTTTCTCACTTTTCTAGAACTTCATACATTTTTTTTTCTGGGGTTCTTTTTTCTTGTTTTTCCTTTGGGTCCCCTAGGACTCCCCAGGTGCTCCAGGAAAAAAGGTATAGAATTTCTCAGGAGAAATGTTTGTTTTGCAGTTAGCAAAAGGCCAAGTGCTTATTTTGTCAGGTTATCCCATAGTAAGTATAATTGTTCAAATTTATGAAAAGTACAATGTAATTTTTAATGAATACAATGACTAATAATTAAATTAGAGCAATTAATATACCCATCAACTCAACCAGTTGTCATAACTTTGTGTTGTGTCATGACATACTTTTAATAGTCGGTGCCCCATATTTACTTATTTTTGCACTATCATGGAAAAACTCTAGTTTAGGAGACAGGGAATGTGAAAAAATACTTTCAGTTTTGCATTAACTAATTGACTTTGACCAACTTATTTACCCTCTCTAGACTTCAAGGTCAGTGTGTATATGTGTGTGTGTGTGTGTGTGTACATGCTTTGGAGGGGGAGCAGGGAAAGAATAAAGTGACTCAATTAGATACAAATATAACGGTGTTGTTTCTAGCTCTAAAACCCACTGTAGTTTTTTACCTCTTTCTTATTTTTGGTTGGCAGAGTTTATCACCCATGCTGGTGACTCACACTTCACTTTCTAGCTTTGAACTTCCACCTCCCACCAATCCTAGCTGGCAAGCTCAGACTTCTTGCTATTCCTGATGTATACTCCTTTGCATTACATTTTTTAAATAAAAAGGAAAGTATTCAGAAGATATTTTTACTTCTCCTTCCTCCTTGGGCTTGTACCCTAACTTTCTTTTCCATTCAGAGCGGAAGAAATAATAGCCAAGGTGGGAAATGGGATTCCTTATTTGTAGATGTCACTGTATTTCATCATTTGCTTTGCCTACAATTGATGATGGGCTGACACAGAGTTCTTTGCCCCTGTGTTCTTCTCTAATCCTAAAATATTTCTGAATCCACTAAAAAAGCTCTCTCCTCTGGCTTCCAAATTTTTAAGATATCTGTGGCTTTCAACTTGGTTTTTCTGCTGGAGTCAAGAGTCTCTGACAGGTTCTTAACTCTGGAAAGAGTATCTGATCCAAGTAGGCAGGAAGAAATTGATTGGTGAAGCCAGCTTGATAACAACTCAACTCTATAGCCAACATGTATTGAGCTCTTATTATGTACCAAGCATTGCATTAGTCAGTTTACATGATTATCCCATGTAGGCTTCACAGCACTGCTGTGAAGTAGATACTTATTATCCTCATTTCACAGGTAAAAAATTTGAGGTTCAGAGAAGTTAAATCACATGTCTAAGATTACAGAGCTAGTTATTGGTAGTGCTAGATTAAATCACATGTCTAAGATTACAGAGCTAGTAAATGGTAGTGCTACTATTTGAGCCCATGGAGTTTAACCCCAATATCATCCTTCTAATCACTATACTATACTAGCTAGAAGTACGTGAGTGGTCCAGATCTAGTAAACCAGAATGAGCCATATTCTAGGCTGAAGGCCCTTTATCTATGGGTTGATGTGGGCTGACCCATTCAAGGATCTGTACTAGGGGCATCCCAGTTCCCTGGAGGCCTGTGAATTACAGGTTAACACCTCCAATATTGGAAAAGAGCCCAGATGATTGATCTGTAAGGTAATGTGCAGTGCATTCCAAATTTCCCCATTAGCCAATGCTGAGACAGAGCTTGGGGTTGGCAAAAGCAGTCCTTAAGAGCACAAACAAGTCTGAGTCCACAATAGGTTAATTTGAAAGACTCACAATCTACCAACAGGAAAATGTGTGTCAGGGTATAATTAAAAAGGCAGGCCCATCTGGAATGGTTTAGTCCTTTTCAGATGAGTATTATTATAGATGCTAAATATATATTCTTTGTTTCTTTAGAAGTCTGTTTATTCACTTATTGACATCTTTTAGGTGCAATAATTTGAATGTTCTAGTCTAGGAATTGGCAAGTTCTGTAAAAAAAGAATCTAGTGTATATTTTAGGCTTTACAAGCCATATGGTCTTTGTCCCAACTACTCAGCTCTACCATTGTAGCATGAAAACAGCCATAAACAACATAGAAATGAGTAGGAGTGGCTAAGTTCCAATATCACTTTATTTATGGCCACTGGTGTTTGAATTTCATATCATTTTCACATATTACAAGATATTATTATTCTTTTTACTTTTTTCAACCATTTAAAAACATAATTTTTTTAGGAGAGGTTTTTTCTAATAGGGTGTGTGAATTCTCCAGAGAGACAGAGAGAGACAGAGAGACAAAAAGCAAGAAATCATCCCCCAGAAGGGATGGTCATGCTGCAATCCCTTCTCCTTTGTTCCCCTCTAGGGACTTTGGGCACAGACACACATGTACCTAGTGTGAGTTTTAAGCCACCAGGTCTGGGACTTGAACCGTAGTCAACTACATGGGAGTCCAGCAACGTAACCATTACGCTGTCTGCTTGTATCCCTCCCCCCAAAAAAAAACACAGAAAGAAAAAAAATATATATATATAAAACATTCTTAGTTTGCGAACAATGCAGAACAGTTGGTAAACCAGATTTGGCACATGGGTCCTAGTCTGCTGACCTGATCATTAGCATTTAGTTCACATCCCAAAGTACTAACTCACTTAGAAAGCAAGTTAGACACTGGCAGGATTGTACTAATTTAAAATGAAAACACATAAACACAAAATAGCCCAAATGGTGACACTATTTCCTATCCCTTATCTACTTTTTCTCATGCACGCTTTCTATTATATTTTATTCCTATGTTTGTTTATTCTTCTGTAGGCTGCTTGGCTGGGGCTGAATATTTTCCTGTTTGTATATGCCTTCCTGAGATATGAGAGGGCCAACAAGTACTACTACAAAAGAGAAATCCTTGGAGTGAGTTTTTCAGTTATAATGTGGAGAATCTCTGTTTTTTTCTTCTCTATGAATCTGGCTCTTTTGTGACTCAGTGCCCTGATTTCCTCTAGGGCTAAGAATGACAGAAAAAATATAGGATTCCCAGTTAAGTTTGAATTTCAGATAAACCACAAACATTTTTTATATAAATATATTCCAAATATTGCTTGGAATATGGATATGCTAAAATATTCATTAAAAAATTACCAGAGTATATGTATGCTTGCAAGAGAGAGAAAGGAGAGAGAGAGAGAGAGAGCATTCCCAATGGAGTCACACTACAATCCCTTTTCCTCCATTTATCTATCTCATCAGGATTCAGGGCACACGTGCATATGCCCCTGGCATATTTTTCAAGCTGCTGTGGCTAGGACTCAAACCAGAGTTGGCCATGTGGGTTCCAGCTCCCTATACACAGTACTTAACTACTGCAATATGGGACCAGCCCTTAAAGTATTTATTTTTTAAATATAAAGTTCAAATTTAATTGAGTGTCATATGTTTTCCTTTACTAAGTCTAACAACATACAATAAAGAAAACTGTTAAGGCAGTAGTTTTCAAACTGTTTTCTAGAAACTCAAGTGCTCCTATAGAGTTTAAGGGGAAGGCTAATAACTCGGGAGTCCCCCTGCCACTGCTCTCAGCCAGAACTGCCTTTATGTCTTAGGAACACCTGTTCATGATTTTAAGAAAAAAAAATGGTTTAAAAGAAAAGAAAAAACAGAAGACAACCTGAAAACCATTGCTGTGGAATAATGTAACAGAAAAATACCTTTATAAAACAGAATAGATACTAGGGCCAGCAAATGGTATGGTAATTAAAGGCGCCAGATTTCCACATGGTCAACTGTGGTTCAAGTCCTAGACCTGGTGGCTTGCTTTCTCACTTTCCTTTTCTCTCTTTCTCTGATCAAAGTAAAAAGTAATAACAAATGAAAATAAAGAAATTATTATTAAAAAAAAAGCCAGAATAGATACTTAGGTCTAGGAAATGGGTGGTTCTGTCGAACTCGAGGTCTGCAGAAAGGTGGGTTCAGGTCAGTGTAATGGAATGGAGAAGGCTGGAGAAGTGGTCGATCAAGAACAGAAGAGGAGGGTGGGGGCAGGTAGGGCACCTGAGTGTGACCAGGAGGGAGCATGGAGGTGAGGATGGTTTTCTAATAGGCTGATGAACCTAGACACTACTTGGTTAGAAGGCCAAATTTGGCTGCTGTCTCTAGTCTATTATGCAATAATAAGGAATTGGTTAAATCACTATCCACTTTCATCTTGACAGTGCCTTTTTTTAATAGCTTTCCACTCAATATACATGTTTAAAGACAGCTTGTCCTTTAAAAAATCTTTTTCTCCCCATAATCAAAGGATCCATGTTGACATCACAACTAATTTAAATGTTCTGTTCATGGCTTATTTTGCCCTGCTGTTTTCCATTTTAAATGTTTGTCCTTGATCCTCTTTTAGAAACTATAACTCCAAAGGTAGTGTTAATTTGTTTTAAAAATAGATTTTTATTAAGAGAATGATGCAATAAATGTGACTAGTTATTAAGAGCTTGATTACTTCATGACCAAAAGCCAGCAGTAGAAAAATGAATCATGCTGATATCCTGTGGATGTTTCATTTTTTAAAGCCCTATTTTCAAAAATAAATTAATGATAAATAATCTTGCTTTCAATGAGAGCAAACCATATAGAAGTGTATAAGTAAAATGTGAAAATTTACCTCTCATTTTACTTCCCAGAGAAAATAAGTGTTAATAGTTTGGGGACCAACAGATGGTGTAATGGTTATGTTGCTGGACTCCCATGTAGTCGACCATGGTTCGAGTCCTGTACCTGGCGACTTAAACTCACACCAGACACATGTGCATATGTGCTCAAGATCCCAAGAGGAGAACAGAAGAGAAGGGATTATGGTGTGGCCATCCCCCCTAGGGGGATGATTTCTCGCTTTATGTCTCTCTCTTTGTCTTTCTGGCAAGCACACATGCCCTATAGCAAAAACCTCTCTTCAAATAAAAAAGTTTGCGTGTGTGTATATAGATATACTGAAATATGCTCACAAATGGATCAGACACATAGATTTTGTTTTGTTTTTGAGGTAGACACTCTTGTTCACTCACTTTCTAATTTCCATACAGTAAAATTCTCACCTTTTTGTTCTTTCTCTCTCTCTCTCCACACACACACACACACACACACACACACACACACACACACATAACCCCCACAACCACACACACACACACCCTTTTTGTTTTAACAAAAAAAAAAAAAAAGGAAAGAAATCACAATTATAGGTATTGGCTAGAAATGGCCTCTTCCACTTAATGTATCTCAGATATTTTTTCACATGAGTACATTATCAGTGGTGTGCGGGAACCAGCTCATGGCAGCTTGCTGTAGCCAGTATGTGCATATCTTCCTGACTCTGCACTCAAGGGTATTCAATGATATCAAGTGGCTATCTTGAATCTGTCCCTGATGGGAGTATTTACATGATCAAAACTGGCAAATGCTGGAAATCAGGGATCCCTGCTCCCTCTTCCTATGGTAGTTGTTAAAACATTTACCTCCACTACACCACTGCATAGAGCTCTTTATAAAAATGTTACCTGTTTTTGTACTTTTAAAATATACATTTAATTGCTGTACATCTTTATAGTGTACAAAATAAACTTTTTCTAGCATAAATGAAGTATGTCTCAATCAAGTCAAAGGCATTACCATATACATTATCATCAAAAGACTTTTAAAAATATATAAGAGAGAAAGAGAGAGAGAGATAAGCACCCTCAACAGGGTGTCATGCAGAGATGCATCCTCCTCCTCCTTCTCAGCCAGTTGAGATTATGGGTGCCGTGCTTAGAGTGTACAGGTCAACCTGGGAACTGAACCCATAGTCGTCCATATGGCTCCAGTGATGCTTGAGCAACATGTTACCACTCTGCCACCCAGCCAGCCTTTGCTGTCAACCTTTTAGGAGAACAGTTCATTGCATTGATATGCCATAATTTATTTAATCATTCCATAGAGTATTTTCATGCTTGCATTGGGAAAATACAGAGAGAAATTTGATTCACTGTGAAGCAGAACAAATAAGTAGCAGAGGAAGGAATTGAAACCTATAGTCAATGAAGCATTCATGACAGCAGCAGTTCAATTATAACATCAGTGACTGTTGATATGGAGAAATAAATATACATTGGGATATTTCAGTGTGCTGCAATGAGGATTAAAAAGGGTTTCTCTACAAAGAATTCATCCCATACAGATAGCCACCACAGAATATAGAGCTGCAAAATTATAGTCCTATATTTTCAATGTAATTGCCAATTTTAGCTTTCAGGAACTTCTGTGAGTCAGATAAGCAAACCGTGGGAACCGACGTGGAAATATAGGCTCTCTGAGATGAGCAGAGAAAATTTACTCAGAAATGGAACAGGCTGTCTCTACCAAAAACAGTCAGAGTATGACTCAGCACAGGGAGAAAACACAGATTATGTGGAAGAGCCAGAAATGGCAAACAGTAGGGCAGCTCACGTTCAGTGCACTGCCTGACATTGTGAGCCATTATGGACGCCAGGCAGATCTTGACCTGGCTTATTAAATCCTGTCACATTGTCATGGGTTTCAGTTGTATGGAAAATAGTTTTTGTGCCTTTAAGAGTGAGAAATTTTTAGCCCTAACCCAGACTCTTCCTTTCAGCAAGTCTTTGACAGGCATACATTTAAGGCAAGCCAATCAGCTGAAGTGTGACAAAAATTGCCTGGCTACCATTGCCACCTCCGCTACTCTTAGGAGATTGTCACACTTTACAGCCTGCCATTCCAAGTACGTGAAGCAGGCACAGAACCCAGTTGTACAGAGTTGAAGAGACAAGTCAGACTTAGCTGCCATAGACTTGAGCATATTCTTTCCAGACATTACCTAGTCAGGCCTCTTTCTGGACTAAATACTTCTTTGATGCACTCCTTATCTCCATTTCTAGAGCTTCCATGGCTGGATCAGGTTGCTCTGGTTCCATGCTACCTGGCCACCCAAAGAAATCAGTTTGAAATTCTGTTCTCGGGCTGGCCCTGTAGTGTGGTGATTAAGCCCTGTGCATAGGGAACCATATCCCACATGGCCAACCACAGTTCAAATCCCAGCCACGGCTTGTAAAACACACCCAGGTGCATGTGCATGTATGCCCCAAATCCTAATAGGATGGAGGAATTGAGGAAAAAGGACTACTGTGTAACCACACCCCACTGGGGGTTTTCTCTCTAGTGAACACACATGCCCTTTGGCAATTAAAAACAAAAAAGAAATTTTGCTCTCAGTTAACCCTTGTCAAACCTTTACCTAAACTTGAACATTTTGTTTCAAGAGCTATGCTAGTCTTGCCAAAGCTTTATTTAGCTTTTAAAGACATCTTAAATATAAGTGGTTACTTTAACATTTTTTTATTATACAACTATTTACATGTTTATAATTACCACATTAGAAAATACAGATAATACTATAGTCACCATCTTTGATTGTACCTCTAAATATGAGTTTTATTTAAAATGCAAGTAAGTGTCTATGATCTTCAAGACCGTTTTACAAATGACAAATAATGAAACCATCTTTGAGTGTAGTAAATAAAAATGCTCATCACAAAATATTACATCTGTAGCATGCATTTACTAACATAAAATAATTAAATCCTGTCCTCTTTTGTATAATCAAACATTTCTAAAACACTGAATGTCATGGGAATTTTTCAGTTCAATAGTATTTTTTAAAGAATTATTTGATTTAACTTTATTTATGTACTAATTTATTTTAATTTGACCAGAAAGGGACAGAGTAAGAGAGAGAGGGAAAGTGAGAAAGCAAGCTGCCAGGTCCGAGCTTTGAACTGCGATCAGTCATGTGAGAGTCCAGCACCCCTAACCACCATGCCACTTGCTGTCCCCTCAACATTAATTTTAACACATATCCTGTCTTTTGCAAATAGAGATCCTCTCCTGATTATGCTAGCTACTGAGAGAGAGGGCAAGAAGCTGTAGCACTATCCATTTGCAAGTCTCAGACAAGTGGGCTGGCCAGTGCTCACTTGCTATATGTTAAGATAAAACAACTGAATATCTGTTTTCTCCTCTCTTCTAGTCGACATTGGCCTGGGGTTGAGCCTCTGCTCTCTTTTCTCTGCTTGAATTATAACGGCATGCTGATCCTGATTCCTGTGTGTCACAATCTGCTGTCCTTCCTGAGGGGCACTGCTCAGTGAGTTCCAGCCACCCCTAATCAAAGAAAAAGATCCCAGACTCCTCAGTAGAACAAAGAATGGAGGCCCTGATTCTCCTTTGGTAGCTAAGGGGGATGGGAGGAAAAGTGGGTGGGTATTAGCATGCTATGTATAAGACATGTTGGTTATGAGTTAATGAATTTCATAAGCCTAGCTGGGGACTCTTGACTATAATCACTTTGCATTTGCAGTTTTGCTGCTGAACACTGAGAAAGCAATTGGATCATAGCCTCACCTTCCATAAGTTGGTGGTATATATGATCTGCTTACACACAGGTAACTCAGGCTAACTATGAAACTATAGTCTCCAGGGCAGAGTCTGGCTTCATTCATCCATGTATATAATCATTCAATAAATATTTATTGAGCATCTGGCATTATTTGTCAGGCACTGTTCTAGGACTATTATCTTTCTCTATCTCTTTTTTGCCAGGGTGTGTGTGCACTCACCAGAGACAGACAAGGTGAGAGGGGCAAGAAAAGGCCAGCAGACTATGTGGTGGTTAAGGCAGCTGGATCCCACATGGCCAACTGTGTGGTTTGAGTCCTAGACACAACAGCTTGAAAAACATTCCAGGTGTGTGTGCATGCATGCCTAAAATCCCAAGAAGAAAATGGGAAAGGGATTGCAGTGTGACTGTCCCCTATGGGGAGATGCTTTTGCACTCTCCCCTCCCCCTGTCTTTCTCTCCAACAAGCACACATGCCCTTTATCAAATTAAAAAACAAGAGCAGAAAAGAAAGAAGAAAGGACTCCCCATGGGGCCTGGTCACACAGCAATCCCTTCTCCATTTCTTCTTCCTTTCAGGATTTTGGGCATGCTTGCACATGCACATGACATTTCTCAAACTGCTGGGCCTAGGAATTGAATCACACAGTTGGTCCTGTGGGGTCCAGCTGTCTTAACCACCAGGCCACAGAGTCAGCTCTCTAGAACTCTTTTCATGAAGCTTACATTTTATTTTTTTGGGAACTGAGTATCTTGGCTCTCTCTGTAGTTGAGGTTTTATTGGGCTCCTTCTGTGGGCTCAGCATTCTGCTCGTCCTTATATGGAGAATTCCCCTATTCTGAGGGGGCATGCCTGCCACGATGCTCTTGAGACAGGTCTTACATTCTTTCCATCTAGCTATTCACATCATTGCACACCCGTTTAACTTTGACTGCTACCGCAGAAGCCAACAGGCCAGATGGATCCCTTATTTCCATTCTCTCCAGCCTATCTCATAAGGAGAAAGAGGGAGGTTCTTGGCTAAATCCTATCCAACCCCCAAACCTGGTGAGTCAACTCAATGGCAAGGCATCTGGGATCTGCTCATGAGCAAGATGGGCATGGTATCCTTGGTGGATGTTGTGTCAGGCTGACATTTCTCCTTTCACAGACAGTGGAATATGTGACATTCACTAGCATTGCAGTTTTACTGGAGTGATCATCACAGTCGCCCTGATTCTGATGGTAACTTCAGCTATGGAGTTTATCTGGAAGAATTATTTTGAGGTCTTTTGGTATACTCATCATGTTTTCATCATCTATATCCTTGGCTTAGGGATTCATGGCATTTGGTAATGTACTTAAGTCCTCATTCTCATGCCCCAGCCCCTGACCTTGCATAATACTTTGCCCCAAATTGTCCTTTTTTTTGGTCTGTTTCAGTGGATTAGTCTGGGGTCAGAGGAGAGCATGAATGAGAGTGATCCTCACAACTGTGCAGAGTTTTTTGAAAAGTGAGATGGTCATGATTCCCACTTTAGGAAACAGGCTTCCCCAATTTGAAGGGCACCCCCCTGAGTTAAGAATATTATGGGCAAGGATAGACTTTTGTTAGGAGCTGTTAACTATTACCATTGTTATTATTACTTTTACTATTATTATCAGTATTATTAACTCAGCACTGTGCTGGGTCCCACAAAGGATATTCACAAAGTTTCTACCTTCAAGGGATTTCCAGTATTGTTGGCCACAGGTAATTAACAGAGGATTTTTGAAGAGAAAGGACTAATGGCTTTTGCATATTGTGAGATCCTCTGCAAAGATGATAAAAACAACCCATTTATTTATTTATTGTCATTCTTTTTTTCCTTTTTTTAAGGTTTTTTTTGCCTTAGGGCATGTGTACTCACTGGGGAGAGAGACAGACACAGTGAGAGAGAAAGTGAGAAATCACTCTCCCGGGGATGGCCATGATGTAATCCCTCTTCCTCCATTCTCCTCTTGGGATTTTCAGCATGCATACTCACACGCCCAGTGTGATTTTCAAGCTATCGGGTCTGGGACCACATGAGAGTCCATCGATGTAACTGCTACACCATCTGCTGGTCCTTTATTTCTCATTATTTTCAAGCTGCCCACTCCAGGACTCAAACCATGGTCAGCCATGTGGGAATCCAGAGCCTTTAATCACTACACCACCTGCTGGCCCCAATAGCCCAATTATTAATAATGTTTACCATGTACCAACCTTGAGACTTAATATAGATGATATCATTTATATATAGCAATAACTTATGAGGTAAGTAGGTATTTTGTACCCATTTTGAGACAAAAGGACAAGGATACCAAGAGATTAAGTAAACTGTCAAACTCTCACTATGAGTAGGGGAGCTCGAATTCAAGTCTTTTGAATTCCAAAGTCGGTGCTCTTGACTGCACAAAAGTCAGCTGTGAAATCTCGACTTCTGTGTGTGTGTGTGTGTGTGTATGTGTGTGTGTGTGTGTGAGAGAGAGAGAGAGAGAGAGAGAGAGGGAGAGAGAGAGAGCATTCTTGACGAACTTTCTTTGGTGTTTTAATAACATGCTTAGAACTTATTGTTAGCCAGTAGATGACTAATAAACCAGATTGGTGGTTCATTAATGGTAACGCAATGCTTAGCAATGCTGAAGCCATATGGAAATGTTCTGGGTTCACACCTTGATATTTCCATGTGAATGCCAGGCATGTATGCCCGTGCCAGTAATCCTGGCTGGCTGAGGCTCGGGGTAGATCCCAGCATGAGGGCCCTGTTGGAGGTGCACCTCTCTTAAAAAAAAAAAAAAAAAAAAAGAACAGAAATATAAAGAGGACCAGCAGGTGATGTGGAGTTTAAGGTACTGAATCCCACGTGGAAAGCTTTGTACTTTGAGTCCCAGACCCGGCAGTTTAAGAATCATCCAGGGCACATGTGTGTGCATGTGCCCAAAATCCCAATAGGAGAGTGGAGGAGAAGGGATTACAACATGGGCATCCCCCTTGGGGGTGATTTCTCACTTTCCCTCTCTCTATCTCTCTCTGCCAAGTGAACATACCTTTTAACAAAAACAACAAAAAAAGTAAAACTTTTTTTTTGAAAAAATGGCTTAGTTCGGGACCAGCAGGTGGCATGATGGTTAAGGCGCTGGACACTTCCACATGGCTAATCACGGTTTCAGTCCCAGACCTGGTGGCTTGCTTTCTTGCTTTCTCTCTCTCTCTCTCTCTGTCTCTCTCTGGTCAAATTAAACTAAAATTAATGAATAAATAAAGTTAAATTAAAAAATGGCTTAGTTCTAGTGAACACTAAGTGTGTCCCAGGGTTGTTATGAATATTATGGTTTACCTTTGCTAGCTCATTGAATAGGTTATATTTAGCAATAAATGAAAATAGAATGTTGACTTGTGATGCCACAAAGTACTCTGAGAATGATGAAAGTCTTTACATTAGATGCAGGATTAGTAGCAATAGCTTAGTTTTCATCTAGAAAGGGAAAATATCTCAAACAAAAAGTTCTCTAAGGGGGGCAGGCAGGTGGTGTGGTGGTTAAGGGCGCTGTACTCCCACATGGCCAACCACAGTTTGAGTCCCAGACTAGGTGGCTTGCCTTCTCACTTTCTCTCTTTCTCCCTCTGTCCCTCTCTGGTCAAATTAAAATAAATAAATAAATAAATAAATAAATAAATAAATACACAAATAAAAAGTTAAATAAATTAATTACTTTAAAAAAAAGTTCCCTAAGTTTGGCATTTCAATTAATTGGAGAAAAGATAGATTAATATTCATTTTAGGACAATAGATTGTCATCTGATAGGAAAAGCTATATCTTTATTCACATCTTGCACAAAAATAAATATGAATCAATGATGCGTGGAAAGAGGATTTAAATGTTAAAAAACAATCATAAAAACATCCCAAGACCACATAAGAATATGTTTCTAACACTGTAGTGGGTAAAGACATTTCTAAGTAAGATAGATGATGTCAAAGCCAAAAATGTAAAGATAACAAGTTTGCATGACAAAATAAGTTAAGGAAAAAGAAAACCCATCATAAATAAAGACAGATAACAAATTGTTAAGTAGAAAAAGTATTTACAATTCCTAGACCATGGGCTAATTTTCTAATATTTAATAACTCCTAGAAATCAATGAGAAAAAAACTAACCATCTGATAAAAAAATATGTGAAGGGGGGCAGCAGGTGGGTGTGGCAGTGAAGGGTGCTGGACTCCCACGTGTCTGACCGTGGTTTGAGTCCTGGACCTGGCGGCTTGCTTTCTCACTTCCTCTTGCTCTCTCTCTCTCACTCTGTCCCTCTCTGGTCAAAATAAAATAAACAAATAAAGTTAAATAAAATAATTCTTTAAAAAAAGAGATATGAAGTTATGAACAGAATAATCACATAGTATGTGTGTGTGTGTATGTATACAGCATTGCTTGATAGAACAAAAGATTATAACAAGTGTCCATGGGACCAGCAGTTAGCGTAATGGCTATGTCACTGGACTCCCACGTAGTTGACCGCGGTTCGCATCCCAGACTTGGTGGCTTAAAACTCATACCGGATGCATGTGTGTGCATGCCCAAGATCCCGAGAAGAGAATGAAGAAGAAAGGATTGCGGCGTGGCCATCCCCCCTGGGGGGTGATTTCTCACTTTCTGTCTCTCTGTCTCTGTCTGTCTGGCGAGCGCACGTGCCCTATAGCAAAAATGTCTAAAAAGAAAAACCAATAAACAAAAAATACAGGTGCCCATGACTGGAGGACTAGTTAAATTAGGAGGCTGTCATATCACGGAATACTCTGTAGCCAGTGAAAGAGGCAGTTCTATAGGTTCTAATAGGCACTAGTCTCTAGGATGGGATGTTAAGTATGAAAAGGCAACACAGTGTGGACAGTCTGCTTTCATTTGCATTAAAAAGATCACGTAGGGAGCCAGCAGGTAGCATGTTGGTTAAGGTGCTGTGCTGAATTCCCACATTAATGATTGCAGTTCAAGTCCTGGACCTGGAGACTTGAAAATCACACTGGATGTATGTGCATGTGTGCCCAAAATCCCAGGAGAAAAACGGAGCAGAGTGGATTACAGTGTGGTCATCCCCCTCAGGTAGCAATTTCTTACTTTGCCTCTCACTGTCTCTCTCTGGCGGGTGCATGCACCCTATGACAAACAAACAAACAAACAAACACAACAACAACAACAACAACAACAACAGAAAACCCAAAAAAACCTTTAGAAAGAACTCTTGCTTGCAGTTCACTGCCACTGCCAGCCCTCCACCTTTAGTCATTAACCTGCCTGCCCCGACACCGTTTGAGTTTGCTTCCTTTGATCTCTGTGCTTCATTCATAGGTTCTCATGTGCCCATCCACAGTTTTGGAATTGCAGATGAATAAGTGTGGCTTCAGCATGGAAGTGGGGCAATATATCTTTGTTAATTGCCCCTTGATTTCTCTCCTGGAATGGCATCCCTTTACTCTGTCCCCTGCCCCAGAGGAAGACTTCTCCATTCATATCAAAGCAGTGGGGGGCTGGTCAGAAAGTCTCATAAGGGCTTTTAAACAGCATTCATCAATTCTCAGGTAGGTCCTTGAGTACAGCAGAGACTCAGGATGCAGACTGGTAGAAAAGAAAAAGTGAAAATAAAAATAAATTAAAAAATAATATTACTAAATAAATAAATAATTTTGAAGGCAAACAGAATGAAGTACAAGTTTATTGGGCTTGTCCTATACCTGGTCAGCCTGATAGTTAAGGAAGCTGAATCCCACATGGCTGAGCATGTGGTGTGAGTCCTGGATTCAGTAACTTGAAAAACATACCAGGTGTGTGTGTTCATGTCCCCCAAATCCTGACAGGATGGAGAAATGGAGAAGGGATGACCATGTGGCATGACCACGGCCCTTTGGGGGAGTGCTTTCTCCTTCTCCCTCTGTCTCTGTCTCTTTTGATCTTTCTCTCTCTTTGGTGAACATATTCATCCTTTGACAAATTTAAAACAAAAAGAAAAGAAAGCAATTCCTTATCGAACCTTACATCTGATACAATACAACATGACTCAAATAAATGTGCAGAGAGACCAGCAGGTGGTGTGGTGCTTAAGGTGCTAGACTCCCATGTGGCCAACAGTGGTTCAAGTTCCAGACTTGGTGTCTTGAAACTCACACCAGGCATGTGTGTGTGTGTGTTTGCCCCAAATCCCATGAGGACAATGGAGGAGAAGGGATTGCAGTGTGGCCATCCCTCCTACGGGGTGATTTTTTGCTTTCTGCCTCTCTCTCCAGTGAGTACATGGATCTTAGATAAATAAATAAATAAAACCTCTCAAAAATAAACAAATAAGGGGCCAACAGATGGTTTAATGGTTATGTTGCTGGACTCCCGTGTAGTCGATTGTGATTCAAATCCCGGACACAGGAGTTTAAACTCATGCTGGGTGCGCGTGCATGCATGCCCAAGATTCTGAGAAGAGAATGGAGGAGAAGGAATTGTGGCATGGCCATCTCCCCTGGGGGGTGATTTCTCACTTTCTGTCTCTCTGTCTCTCTCTGTTTTTCTAGGGAACACGTGCTCCCTATAGCAAAAAGCTCTCAAAAAATTAATAAATAAACACGCAGAAGTCAGCTGTGGAAAGTTATGTTTCTGGGAGGATATTTTAGGTTAGGGATGGAGATGAAATTTCAGTTGCCCATTGTCTTCTGTCTTCTGTCAGAATTGAAGTGGATGGCCCCTTAGGCACAGCCAGTGAGGATGTTTTTCCAGTATATAGTAGCTATGCTGGTTGGAGTAGGAATTGGGGTCACCTCCTTTGCTTCCATTTTGAAATGCATCTGGTACAAATTTCAGCATGCAAACCACAAGCTTAAAACAAGAAAAGGTGTATTACACATACCAGTTATGATTTGGCCTGGGCCTGACAGGTCTATTGCTTTCATGCCTTCTTTACAGTTCATAAAGAAGCAACTCTCCCTGGAGTTATGAGACTGATTGATCATTTCTGTCTGCCATGGAACCTGCTCTACAAACTTATCATAAGAGCAATATCTTCTTTTCAATTTAGAGTTTAAATTCACCCTGAACCAAAGATGATCTTGGAGGGCTCTTCTTGTAAGGGAAATTGTCAGAATTCTGGAGATTTATACTGCCTAAGGTTTGTTGCTCTGTGAAGGTCACCCTTAGAATAGATCAACAAGTATGGGAAAAAATACACACACACACACACACACACACACACATATATATATATATATAAAGAGAGAGAGAGAGAGACTTAAAAAGTTTGTGGGGGGACCAGCAGTTAGCATAATGGCTATGTTGCTAGACTCCCATGTAATCGACTGCGGTTCAAGTCCCAGACCGGATGACTTAAACTCACGCCAGGAGCATGTGCATGCATGCCCAGGATCTGGAGAGGAGAATGGAGGAGAAGGGATTGTGGCATGGCCATCCCCCCTGGGGGGGGTGATTTCTCACTTTCTCTCTCTGTGTCTCTCTCTGTCTTTCTAGCAAGTGCACACACCCTATAGCAAAAATCTCTCAAAAAAAAGTTTGTGGAAAAATAGAATTAAAGTATGAGTTTATTTCGGTGCCAAAATATTGAAATCCATGCATAGTTTTCTCATAATATGCATTTTACATGGACTTTTTGAACTCTGTGTGTGTGTGTGTGTGTGTGTATTCATTATAAAGGGCACTTTATAGAGCTATGTTCTCTCTTGCTGATTCCAGATCTATTTCTACTGGATCTTCAGGGAGACAGGTGCTTTTGCCTGTTTCAGTGAATTAATTACTTCTCTGGAACAGGAGATGGAGGAATTAGGCAAAACGAGTTTTCTAAACTTCCGTCTTTACCTCACCGGATGGGACAGCAACAATGTGAGTTTCAAACAGCACACTAATTCCCATGCTAAATGTAAGATGAATGTCAGGCAAAAGAAAGTGCATGCTAGTTAGAAATAACTATTTCATATGATTTTCTACCTGTCTTCACTCTCACACTCAAGTTTAAAAGTGGCCGAAGGAAGAGGCAGCTATCATGGCTTGCTTTTTCTAACTTTTTATTTCTCTGACTCCAGGCTGGTAATGAAGCATTGAGCTTTGACAATCCCACTGACATCCTGACAGGTTTGAAACAGCAAACCTCCTCAGGGAAACCAGTGTGGGAAAATGAGTATTCTACAATAGCTACTGCCTACCCCAGGTAAGTATATTCTCCTTTTGTTAGTTGAGTTTGCAGAGTCAGGATTTAGGGCAGGTATTACAGTATATTGAACACTATTGGGAAAAGATCTTTGGGGCAGAAACTATTTGTACCATGCTTAGTTTCTTGCTTGGAACTGAGAAAATTTTATCTGGGGTTTTACAAAATGGCACAGTCTTGTAATTGATGAGAATACATTTGCTGCCTCAGTGAGCCATCACTCAAACAGCGAGGCAAGGACACTCAATTTTAATCTATATTGTCAAACAAAACAGAGAACTGGAGCAATTCCAACGCAGTGTGTGTGTGTGTGTGTGTGTGTGTGTGTGTGTGTGTGTGGGTGGGTTTACTGGCCTCTATTTAATATAATGAGTGTTTGGAAACTATTTTCTAGTTCATTTATTACCTGAGCTCAGTCTTTCTGGAGGTTTTTGAGACATGTTAGAGAATTCAGGAAAACCTGGTGCTATGAGACCAGAGGTTTCAAGGGGAAGACAATGAAGCTGATCACGGTAGATAAATTCCTAGAACAAGTTGGCAGGTGAAGATGAATTCAATTCTATAAACATCATTTGTTACCTTCTATAAGCTCAGCACAAACTATTCTAGAAGCTTTTGAGACTGAAAAAGAAATAGGATATGGTTTTTGCCCTCAAGGAGAATATATTTGAATAAGAGACACATACCACCAACTGAAAGAAGAATGATGCACTCCATGAAACAGGTGCATGAACACTTGAGGAAAAGTCTATGACCACATAGAGTGATCAGGAAAGGCTTCCTGAAGGCAGTGGTGAGAACACATGGAGACTCAGATTCATATGATCCGGGGTCCTAATGTAGATTCTGACTCTTACCAATTCTGGGACCTTGAATGAGAAATCTCTGGTCTTCAGATTCTTCATCTGTAAAATGGGGGTTACATTAATAATTGCCTGTTCTACTCACTGGCTGAGTTGTTAAGATTAAGTGATATGGGGTCAGCAGGTCATGTGGTGGTTAAGGAGCTGTACTCCCACATGGTCGACCATGGTTGGAGTTCCGGACCTAGTCACTTAAAACTCATGCTGAGCATATGTGTGTGCATACCCAAAACCCCAAGAGGAGACTGGAGAGAGAATTGTGGTATGGTCATCCTCCCTGAGGAATGATTTGTCACTTTTTCTCTGTCTCTCTGGTGAGTACATGTGCCCTATAGCAAAAATCTCTTTCAAAAAAAAAAAAAAAGATTAAGCAACACACTATAAAAAAGATGTTTTAGAAATTGTAAAGCAGCTTAAAAGCAAGAGATTATATTAATTATTGGGTTGTTTGAGTTGAACATAATTGAAGAGGGGAGAGTGCATGAGATTGCCAAAAAACAGAGTATTTTTTTAGCGAGTTTTTGCTATAGGGCATGTGCACTCACTGGAGAGACAGATAGACAAAAAGTGAGAAAATAGGAAAATCTATAAAGATATAAAAGAGCAGTAATTATCTAGGATGGGGGGTGGGGTGGGGTGCTGCTAATGTGGATGTTTTATTTTTTAATATGATGAAAATATTCTGGAATTAGATAGTGGTGATGATTATGCAACTTTGTGACTGTACTATAAAGAAACAATTGGGAACCAGCAGTTAGCGTAATGGCTATGTCGCTGGACTCCCACGTAGTCGACCGTGGTTCGTGTCCCGGACCCGGTGGCTTAAAACTCACGCCGGGCGCGTGTGCGTGCGTGCCCAAGATCCCGGGAGGAGAATGGAGGAGAAGGGATTGCGGCGTGACCATCCCCCCTGGGGGGTGATTTCTCGCTTTCTGTCTCTATGTCTCTCTCTGTCTGTCTGGCGA